GTTGGCCACCTGCTCCTGGACCTCTTCCGATACACATGATGCAGGCTGAGCCATGAGTTGTTAGTTTAGAGGATCCATCGGAGACTGAGGTCCGAAAAACGATCGCAGTCCTTAATTGTTTTCATACTATTGGTCCGGATTCCCTCACACCCGCATTATTTAAGGATGGTGGTGAGGTCATCTGCAAAGCACTGACCCCCGTGTTCGAACAGGTCTGGAAGACAGACGCCATTCCAGTTAACTGGAGAGAATGGATTATTGTGGGAATATACAAGAACGCCTGTCGAACCGACTGTGCTGACCACAGGTGTTGTAGCATAACGCCGGTGGTGACAAAATTACTGGCCTCAATTCTCGTTCGTTACCAAAATGCGGTACGGGAATACCGAAGTACGGAAGAGCTGGCGGGTTTCCTTCAAGAACTCGGCTGTATAGACTCGGCGGCAGGTGCCAGAGCAGCGCCACACGTACAGCAGACCGGCAACAGCTGCGTACCTGGACGTCAAAAGCGCGCTCGAATGAGTCGATCGATGCATTCCGTTCGAGATACCTGTGCGAAAAGGTGTTCAATAAAATGTATAAAAATCTTACGTTCCCAGCATTTGAAAACCACAAGCCGTGTCAGGGTCTACAGTCAACAGATATCTTTCTGAAAAGTAGTGGCGCTCGTCAGGGATACCCAATTTCCAAATTATTGTTTAATTGCGTCATGGGCCTCATCATGGAGTGTTCCCCTGCGGAATATAACGATGCAGGCGTTGAGGTGCAGCCTGGTGAAAAGATAGCTGCTCTTGATTATGCGAACGATATTGTCTTGCTGTCTAACAACATTGGGGTTGCCGAGTCAAATTTGAACGATATCCTAAGACGGGTTCCAGCATTTGCCATGTGCCTCGGGCCTTCAAAGTGCAAGGCATTGTTGCAGAACCACCAGCCCCTTGATAGCCAGGAACTCGAGGTAGTCGATCAATTCACTAACAATAGCAACTGCATCAGTAACAATAGTCGCATAAAAACTGGAGTCAGTTCATGTAGTAAAAAAAGCTAGAACTGCTTTCTTGAATCTGAGACAGTTCTGGCGTCAGAAGGTGGATTCCCTCAATGGAGGCCGTCTTATTTTATGGGAGTGGAAATAGGCCTCTTCAATCTAAGGGTCTGAGGCGCCTTCAAGTCGTTGATCATCGCTTACTGTGGAGAACTGGTGGTGTCAGATGGCACCAGCGTGTCCGCAACAATCATGTGTGCAAGAGAGTACTAGACAGTGATAATCATGCTAGTTCCTTAGAACAACAGGTAGCACTGAATAAGTTGCGTTGGCTTGGGCAGGTACCATGTAAGCCCGGTTACCGCTTACCGAGGACGGCCCTATTCTGTCTGCCAAATGCAGAGCGACGCAAGATTCGAGGTGGCCAAAAGTTGATTTAGAAGCGTGAAATGAAGTCAATGATGACCAAACTGGGTGCCGTCGGTTCGTCTCGCCATCTGGGCTGGAGTCCAAGTAACGCGACTTATGTTTAGCTCGAGACGTTACATGACATGGCTCACAGTGGACACCAGTGGCTTGTCTTCTGTCGTCTCCCAGTCGGACTGCTTGTTTAAAGTGTGTTTGGTGCTGAGCTATCTGTGGCGCAGTGAAAGACAAAGAGGCTGTCTCGTCCATACCGCCTAATCTTTGCACGATAGCCAGTCGTTTGTGGTAATATGCCACTGACACCTTGACCCTGAACATTTGTTTAGATCATTAAGGCTTTACGCCAATTTCCTCTTCTCTCTGTGTCATTATTCTTCATACCGTAGGTCACCATGGTTGTACGGCAGCAAAGCATCAATTTCAGTGGTTGATGTGCTGCTGTTATTGTTTTGTCCTACCCTTACATATGCATTCAGTATCACGAAATTACGAAGTGTTTTTTAAGAGCAATAGCCAATTAATGGCCTCAAGACGATGCGGAACTTGAGATAGTATATAAATGCAACCGTTTGATGACTATATGAGCAGCAACGACTGCGTGACTGCCGAAATGAGTTAGGGTAATGCGGAAACAAGAACTTTCACGAATAGGTAAGTTGCCGTCTACAGGACGACTGTAAGGATTTCTGGCCTCTGCTAGAGTAAAACTTGGTCTTTTCGATTTCAAAAACCTACAGTACAAACTGAATCTAGTCCGCACCCTTGCCTTCCGGGCACGCAGAATATGCGCACCAGACACCATTACCGGAGATTGCAGAGAATCAGTGACGCCTTAAGAGCAAATCGGTATCCGGATAAATTCATCCTCAAGCACTTAACACCAGACAAAACCACCGAGGATGACTACACTCAAGAAAGAACTTATTGTGCATTCTGCTTTCAAAAGCAATAGTGCGGCTGATGCCACGTTCAAACGCCTGAAAGTCGCCTAGCCATATAATACTACAACAAGCCTTTACTCCTAAAATCGTTGAAAGATAAACAGCATCTGCTGACTCGATCAATACTTGTTTATCAGTACTCGTGATCCTGTGGTGCAAGATACGTGGGTAGTACGACGAGGCGCCAATCTCATAGGATTCGCGAACACAGTCCGAAATGGTTTTACAAAGGAAAAAAGTCTACTAATAGTTCTATCAAGTAGCGTCGCTTAGAGTAAGGTCAGAAAACGACTTCAGCGTTGTCTATTCTATTTCTGAGCGTCTTTTGAGCGGATTCCGTGAACATCTCTTATCTGTTGCTGAAGCTATAAATATCCGTCACCCCAAATCATTCAAAAGGCAAAGTTGCCCAACTGAAAAATAGCATTGAAAGCACAAGTGTCACTGGAATAAACGATCCCGGATCTGCATCTTGTTGAGGGTACAGTGTCAAAGTTGAGTTTATCAATCCGGAGATTCTTCAAGTAACAAAACGCCTTCTGATAACTTCGCGTAGTACGCGTGGAGGACAGAATTGGTGACCTTGTAACTGGCCTAATCGAAGGTGTCAAAGACCTAATGAAAACTGATAATCCACAGCAGACAGAGCGAGGTTCCAGTGAAAAAACAACGACCAATTTAAAGGCCCAAACGTCTGCGACCAGATTGTTCTGCTAGGCGAGCAAACAACACGTCGGACATAGTATTTGATTGCTCGCACCTTGATCACTAAATCATTGAGCTCAGCGATTGCTCGTTCATAACTGTGCAAGGTAACAAGGCCGCAAGTGTTTTCGAAAACGGTGTATGTGATTAGCAAAGTGACACACAATGTGCAGAAAAGTCAGACACTGTTGTAATGTTTGGCTAAGTTGCAGCCTACAGTAAGTTAGTAAGAGTTGTTGTCGTGCAGCCGCTACGGCATCAGTAGACATGTATGCTGACGCCGATTCGCCTACATTACCGGCCACATAGTGGTTGTAAAGTGTGACGAAGAGGGATACGACTGAGCGCCTTTTCCTCACTAATTGAACCCAGTGACACAAGGCCGTTGAGAGCCGAGCAGAAGAGAAACAGTGTGATTCCAAAGAAGCAGTGATTAAGTTTAAATGAACTTCTGCCAGACGGTGACTGAAGTGAACAGACGGTCAATTGGCCAAACATTTTTTTCATGAGTCAGAGATCCAAGTTGGAATGTCATTGATAGAACGAACGAGATGACTAGGGTCACCTCTATCCACCGGTTCGCATAGTGCGTCAAATGTTAAGACAGTAAAATGCCGGTGAGCACTTCGTGGACCGATGGACCTGTGGTCACATCTTCCCTAAAAGTATACGCCTGCAAATTTGACAGTCTACAGGCTCAAACAAAGTTTAAAAGTGCTAAGCTTAGTAGAGTGCCGGCCCGTAGCCTTAAGGATCCCAATCCTGACTTGTAATACGAGGACGCAGGTTTGAACCCATGTTTGGAAGGGCGACACTCACCGTATCCTTAACCCACGTGCGACCGATGGTGGTTGCACGGCAGCGAAGTATCGGTACTGCCTACCGACGTACTGCTGATGCCTGGAAGTTTAATAGATTAACGGGGGAAAATGAGAATCCTTAGCCGGTTGACAAATTAGGCGCTGTGACCTTCACTAGGTGGTGTGGTAGCCGTCACCTTGTTAGCACTCGACAGCACAAAGTGATCGAGAAACAACATTGGTGTACAAGAAGGTCAAAATGGGTAGGCGGTTGGAAGTTATTATAGGAGAAGAGTGGTTAGAAGTGTTGACTGAATTTTATGGTTGGCCAACATATGCGATTAGACAGCAGCTGAGTTAATGTAAGTAGAAACAGCAACTATAGCGAACAGCTAACATTGAGTTACTGTTGGATAGAAAAGTTAAGACATACACGGGGCGGTACCCACAGCCAACATGGAGAGCGAAAACATGACGAAAGCGTGGCACAAATCATCGCTAACGAAAATGCAGCACCTAGGATCGTTGGGGTAACGAAGTAAAATATACGACAGTACGTGCCAAGCTGTCAGCAGGTCGATAAAAATGTATCAGCAGGAAACCGAGTCTCAAGTTGGTGCTTTGCTGACACACAACCTTTAGTAGTTACACACGAGCTGGGGTACTGCGAATTCATTCACACCTAGGTGGGTTCGAGCCGGTGACCAGTGGTTATCAAGCCAAATTGCTGAACAACCCGATAAAGACAAGTTAGTGTGTGACACCAAAGCAGCGCCGATGATAATTTAGCCAACAAGCAACAGAATAAAGGATAAAAAGACAGCTTTATAAGTGACGAAACAATGCGAAAGCAGTAGTATAAACATAGTGGGTTTCGAGATGTTTTCTATCGCAAAGACTTTTGGTTGAACGCAAAAGAAGAAGGCACTCAAAGCCCCGTAAACGTAAGCTGAAGCCTCAAAAGAGGGGCTATGGAGTGTGTGTGCGCACGTAGTATGATATTACGACCAAACATCAGGGCCGCAACATCCGTGACGCTCAAATCAAATGGAGAAAGGGTAAATTTTGTTAAAAGGAGAGACCGCCAGCGTGATTGTGAGTGCGTCTAACTAAGAATGAAGGTCGTGATTATGGGGCACTCACTGAAACGCTGGGACAAATTCTATTTGTTCAATTTCTAAGGGATTGAATCCTTTGGAAGTGCGCAGTTCGTTCAACTTTCCACAATTCTGGCAGAGGAACAACAACAAGGAATAGAGATGATGTGAGTCTACATACATTTAAGCAAAGGAGCTTGGACACACTAGCTCTGGCGTACAATCCTCAAGTGTAGACGGGGATCGAACGGATAAATTAGTGGACATAACTAGCGAATCCACGTGTAGCTTCCTAAAAGGCCCAGAGGGTAATATTTTAGAAAATCCCGAAACCTAAGAGCAAGAGGATCTTGACGGTACGTAGTAGCTAGAGTCGACTAGTTTGTATGTTCAGACAAAATGTCCTGAATTGGAACAGTAGAAAGAAATAAAGAGTGTACGAAGGAGAGCGGATGAATTCTGTCAGTCAACAATGATCATAACACCGCAGGGATGTGGATCCGGCCATCAAGACACATGAAGCCTAAGAATGCATGAAAAGATAACTACAAGGATAAAAAATCATCAGTTATACGCCGTAACGGCCCTTTGCTGCCGCGCGACCACTACTAGTCGCGCGTGGGCTGTTTACCGTGAGGGTGCCAACTCTAAGAGGATTCGAACCGGTGACCAAATGATTGAAAAGCCAGGCGTGCAGACCACTCGGCCACCGGCCAACTAAGTACAAGGAAAGCAAAGGAAAACGCTAGAAAGCCGAGGAACAGAAACCCAAAGACTAGAAATCAGCGGTACGCCGGTACGCAATAAGGACGTATCGCTGCTTCGCAACCACCAACAGTCGCATGTGGTCTAAGGAAACTGCGAGGGTCACCCGGACAATACACAGGCTCGAACCCGTGCCCACAGATTACAAGGCAGGCTTGTGATCTTTAAGACTACGGACCGGCAGACGAAGAAAAATGTTCCCTCATCAGATAAATGCATTAACAACAAGAAATGTAAGGCTGAACACAGAAGGAGATGAAAACATTCCGATGGTTAAACGAACCAAACACTGGACAGCGGTGGATCAATTTACCATAAATTGCGTCGCAAAAAATTATACATACGGAAAGGAGGGGGGAAGCGAAATTTGCCTTCATTCTACCAAGTTTACCAATGGCATCGTAGATGTTCTGATTCGGCGACCGCAAATAGCTGGAGACATGGAGCATATAACCATCGCCACCGATACTTATGCAGAGTGATGAAAAATTCAGCAAGACGCTGCAGTTTTGTGTACACGGCACACGCGTACTGCAATATGATGCTGAACGAGAGTGAGCGTTGACACTTAGGGTGAATGCCGAAATCGTTCGAATAAAATAAAAGATTTGATGAGAAATACGATTTACCTACACCCATGGAGCTAAGGAATCGCTTGAGAAGCACAAAGGTAGGACAAAATAGGACGGAAAGGAGTACTATCAATGGCATTGTCAACCCGTGCTTATTTCGGAGATGGATTTGTTTCGAAAGTACTCGGTTTAGTTCAGTTAAACAATCATAACAAGCGGCACAAAAGTAAGGTGCATGCTATTGTCACTACTCACCTTGCTAAACACAATTGAAAATGATGAGCAAAACGTATAAGAAGAACTGAACATAAAAGAGAGTTGGGATAGGTGAATAAAATGAACTGAGATGAAACATTAGGGGCTACACGTAATAAATGGAATTTAGCAACACTATGACGGAAGGGGCGAATGTGACATATCCAAAAGGAACCAGACCACTGATGTAACCATCCCGAGGTACACACCCAAGGAGGCGGAAAATGCCGGCCTGACCAAGTCTTTCAGTCAGTTTCTTCATGCATTTATGCATACTGACCGACTCGCCACCTCATGGTATCCCAAGCAAGGTAAAGTGATAGACAAAAATGGCTAATTAGAACGCGGGGCGGTTAAGGATGCAAAGAAGCCGTCTCACCGATTTTGCCTTTGCACGATAACCAGCTCTTTGTGACGGTATGTTATTGATTGGGTGTAAGCTCCTTGATCCTGAATGTTTGCTTAAGGTGCCACGGTTTACGTCAATTTCCTCGTCTCTCCCTCTTGTTTTTCTTCGTATTGTAAGCCACCATGGATGCATAACAGCATCAGTTACATTTCTTGTGGATTTTGGTGAGTATCGTAATGTGCGTAGAAAGCAGAAGTCACGATTAAACTGCACACAATAATCTGCCTCGACGGGGAATCGAACCCCGGTCCCACGAATTTCCGGTCCGCTGCTCTACCACTGAGCTACCGAGGGCTGACGATTAGGTGCGCAATTTAATACATGACTTCTGCTTGGTGCGCGACGTATTACCAATGAGCTCACAGTATCTGTCCTGGTGTTGCAGATTGGCTCACTCACTCGTCACTTCCCAATGGACCGAAGTATTTGTCCTTCTGATGTCTAAAGGGCGATGGTAGATTACTTGTGGATTTTTGTGACTATCGTAATGTTCGGACAAACATTACGATTTTCCGGACGCATTGAGAGGTTTACAAAAAATCTGAATGCAATAACTGGAATCGTATTTGGTAGGCAGACCACAACAAATGGAGACAGAATATTTTTATTACCCAACAGGAAATGCCGTTTTCGGTAGAAGAGCAATTTGAAGAAATTCAAAGTCGATCCATGGCACCTTTAGTGTTTGAGGTGAAAGACAACATCTTCTGTGGAAACCGAGTCTAAAAGCAGTTGGGAATTTCTATACGGCCGGGATGCTGGCCTGAACTTCGAATCCCGGTTCAGAAGACACGAAGACGTCATCCGGTCCCAATTTGCCGATGCTGATGATACCTGGAAATGCAGACTGCTTCTGTGTAAGTTGGGAAAGGAAAAATACGTCGTTCCTCGATTTTATTCTGCCCAAACGCCACAAGAATTTCATATTCGATCAACTGGACCCATGTCACACGACAATTTTGATGATCAGATTTCCTTGTTCAACATCGGTAGGTGCATGAAGCTCGTTAAGTGGGCCTCACATACGTACGCAAGTAATGTCAACCGTCATTGTTAGTTTCAGGCTAAAAGAGGTAATGGATGATCAGTTCAAGGCGCTGATTATCATTCGTGGTCTCCAAGGACCAGAGGACGCCGAAAGATGCAAGAGGTTGCCTAATAAAAATGAGCAAGAACCCTTCATTAATCTTATGCCCATCACCAGTGAATACCAGAGGCCGATAAAGTTGAAATACGAGACAAACTTGATTGCTCAAGTAAGTGGTCCATGTATCGTAAATGTGCTGGCGGTGTCAAACCAGCGAGGAACTTCAACGAAAATGTCAAAACATACGAAGCCGAGCAATCCGCCATGCGAATGCTGGCAATGCGGAGAATGGCACTACGTCGGATTCTGCCCGTCTAAAAGGCATCGCTGTTAGAAATGCAACAAACGAGGCTACAAAGAGAAGCACTGTTGTTTCACCAAGTGTTCCAAAACACTTGCACCCACATCTTTAACATAATAAAGATCTTATCCTTTTTTCGCTACATTTAATACAGGGACAACAAAGCGCAGAAAGTTCGTTACGGTAGCCGTCAATACAGCATCTGTGCCCCTCCAAGGTGACACTATCTCAGATATTAAGGTCATATCCGAGGAAATATGAACCATGCATCCAGAAAACAAATCGGGTTGCTACCAATGAGTTAGTAGTGTTGAAGCTGGCAGGTGAAATTTCCTGCTCAGCGGTTTTAGGGACTGCAATCTCGAAGGGGCTTTGCTATGTAACAAGACACCCACACGTGAACTAACTTGGTCCCGAATGTTTATACAATAAGAAATTGCTTGACGTTTCCTTGAATTCCGTGTACAACAAGTTAAGCGATGCAGCTGTAAACTGGACGCAGATCCCGCGGATGAAGTATCCACAAATGTTAAAGGATGGTCTGGGATTGCGCACAAAGACCAAGGCTAGTTTGTTCCTGCGGTCAGACTCGAAGCCAGTCTTCCGACCAAACCAGCTAGTCCCCTATATGCAGTTGTTCCAATCGTCGACTAAGAACTTGACACACTACAGTCGGTTATCAAACCGATCAACTAACCTTCTTGGGCAACCCTTATTGTGATTGTCAAGCAGCCAAATAGAAATATTCGTCTATGTGCAAATAATTCTACTGACTTGAATGCTTCGTTGGAGTATCCTCTACCGCTATCTGGGGATTTGTTTGAACGGTGGTAATTGTTTTGCCAAAGTGGACTTTCTGAAGCGTATATTCAGACCGAAAAGTCAGAAGAATCTCGAGAGTTGTTAACGATAAACATCCGTCGAGGACTATTCCAATATACTCGCTGCCATTTGGTGTTAAGTCGACCCCAGAAATTTTTCAGCAGATTATGGATACGATGCTACAAGAGATACTGTACGCCACAGTATATCAGGACGATGTCATTAACATGGGATTTAGCTCGGACGAATTGCGTCAGCGAACGGAACCTGTGCTTGATAGAATAAAGGAATATGAATTACGTTTGAGAGTGAGCTCCTCGCGATGTCCACTAACTATATTGGTTGTATCACTGACCGAAGTGGGCGACGACTAGATCCGGCAAACATCAAGGACGATGAAAAGCATGCATCGACCTAAATGCGTGGTAACCTTAAGATCTTTCGTTGACATAGTGAGTTTGTTGCCAACCTTGCTTTGCTTGGTAGTGCGGGACAGCTTCGTTAGTAAAACTAAACACCGATTTCTGATATTGATCTGTCGTTGCCAACAGCTTGAAAGTTTTCACCCATTGTATGTAAGCGGCTGAAAAGAATACGCGAAACACACTACATTCAAATAACCGGCCGATAGGTTGGTTGTTATTGCGCTTTTGAAGTACTACAGTACCATTCAACCATCCACGCACGACTCCCGTGGACCCCTTACTAGGTGCTGATGAAAGACGTCCTTTGGATCTGGACACCGAATGTCAAGAAGAAGACCAGGTCGTTCAGAACTGATGCTGACGCCCACGACTCAAAGCTGTCAATTATCGCGGCATCGGATGCATCCAGTTACGGAGTTCTTGCAGTCATCTCGCATAATGTTCCGCATGGATCCGAAGTGTCGGTCGCTTACGCTGTCCGTTAGTTGACTGAAGC